CGCCTCCCAAGTAGCTGGGACCACAGGCACTGCCACAACGCCCGGCTATTTTTTGGTTGCAGCCGTCATTGTTGTTTGGCGGGTCTGGGCTGGGGATTCGAACCCGCCACCTTAGGTGTACGTGGCTGACGCCTTAGCCGGTTGAGCTATAGGCGCCGAGCCCGGAGTCTGTATTTTAACAAGCTTTGCTGATGATTCTGGGGGCCACTGAGATCTGAGAAACATTCTTGTAAGTTGTACACCCACACTCACGCACATGTGGGGCAATAGGCTTGGATCAGTGGCTCCTTTCGAGGATCAATGAATCCTCGAAATCTCCAAGGAATAGGTTCTCTTATATATATCCATTTTGCGAATGAGGACACAGGCGTAGAAAGGTTGACTTTCTCAGTACTGCACAGCTTCTCACTTGGCTGGGACTCGGCTCAAGTCTGTCTGAATCCAAAGCCCATATATTCAACCACAGGCCCTCAGGTAAACCAGAGGGCAGGGGCCAGGGCCAGCTCGGCTTCCAGCAGTTACCTCATTCCCCTGACTTTCTGTGCGGGGTTTGCAGAAGAGGGCATCAGCGCGGGGACAGAGCTCCGGAGTCCGTGCGAATGCGAAAGCCTCGTGGAATTCCAGGGTCGCACGCTGGGGGCGCTCGAGAGCCTGACGCACAACCATATCCTTTGCCGAGTGGGGAGCTGGCTGGAGGGAGAGGGAAGGGACCCCGGAGAACCCGAAAGGCTTCCTTAATGGTTCACTGGCCCAGCTGACTGAGCGCCTGGAAGATCTGGAGAATCAGTTAGCCAACCAGAAGTGAGGGCCACTGGTGACCCAAACCCAGGCTGGTGGCCCCACGGACTGTGCCCCTCGGGCTTGGGCTGCCCGGGTGGGGGCGCTGGCGGGCTCCCAGCGCTGCGCTGAGCTGGCCTCGCCTGGACCAGAAGCCGGACTCGCAGGGAGATGCGAGGGTGGGGGTGGGCGGTGCGTGCTAGGCTCGCGTGCCTTTGCTGCGTGTTGAACTCAGTTCTTTGTTGGATTTCTTTTTTTGTTTTCTTTTTCTTAAAAAAAAAAAATCTGATTCCACAGAGTCGTTTTGTGGGTCTTCCTGCGCCGCCAGCGGGAGGGGAGCCAGACGCAGCGCGCTCCAGCGGCGCCCGGGCGGCGTCTCCTTGGAGAAAGGCGCATTGTGTGGGGGTCGGCCTGGGGGGCAGCAGACCCCGCGCTGCTTCCCCCTCCTTGTTTATTCAGCCAAGAACAGATGGCTCCTTATACAGGCTGTGGGAAGGGAGGGGGTTCAACGGGAACTCTTGGGGTCCGAGCGAGCGCGTGTCCCCTATCCTCCTGCGGATTAAACACTTGGCTCTCTGGTCAGTCGTGGTGCCCCAAACCCAGCTCAGAAATTACTAGGACTGGGCAGAGGGTGTTGGTGAGAACATGAGAGGCAGCCTGGCCCTCCTTCTGTCACCCTGGGCCACCCTCCAACACTTCTACAGTAAGGAATACATCTCAGTACAATTTCCCAGGTGCGTGCAAGGAACGGCCAAGTTTACAGTGCTTTCAGCCCTAGAGTGATTTGGAACAAATTACTTTGGATTTTTTCCTCATCCATAGAGTGGAGATTGCAATTGTCATCTCCTAGAGTGATGCCAAAATGGAGAAAATTCTTCTAAAGCGTCTGACACTATGCCTGATACATACTAAGCCCACAATTAATGGTAGATATTAACTATTACAGTAATCACTAATACATATATTTAGTCTTGGGCATTATTCTAAGTGATTTGCAGATTATTTCGTTTTATCCTGACCCTCCTATCTCTGTTTTATAAAGACTTTTGTGATTGATTATATTGGGATGACCCTGATATCAAGGACAATGTCTCTCATCTCAAGCTTTTTTATCTTTTTTGTTTGTTTTTTTGAGACAGGGTCTCTGTTATGGAGGCTGTAGTCTCGTTGCATGATCATAGCTCACCGTGGCCTCAAATTCCTGGGCTGAAGTGACCTTTCTGTCTCAGCCTCTCAAGGAGCTGGGACTACAGTTACATGGTACCACACCTCACTAATTTTTTTAATTTTCTGTAGAGATAGATGTCTATGTTGCCTCAGTTGGTCTCAAACCACTGGCCTCAGTTGATCCTTTTGCCTAGGCCTCCCAAAGTGCTGGGATTATAAGTGTGAACCATGGCATGTGGCCTTATCTTAATCACATCTGCAAAGTCCCTTTTATCATATAAGGTAAAATAATAACTTTAGAATTTTAAGTATTGGGGTGGCACCTGTGGCTCAAGGAGTAGGGCATTGCCCTCATATACTGGGGGTGGTGGGTACAAGCCTGACCCCGGCCAAAACTGCAAAAAAAAGCAGCTTATAGAATTCCAAGTATTAGAATTTGGATGTCTTTGAGAGGGGTCCTCCTGCCTGCCACACAGACCTGGAAGCGAGGCTGACTGGTGGCAGAACAGATGCTCTGTGCTTGGCCCTTTGCTAGGCTTGGTTAAGAGGGAGAAATTTAGGACTGAGCAAAGCTCCTGAATTGAGGGAACTCAGGGCTGCAGGGGAGAGGTCCACTTGACTATTTCTGTAGTAGAATGAGACAACTTCAAATGATAGGTAAGTTGGAGGAACCCTAGAAGTGGTGATCTTTGAGCCGTACTTTAAACCAGGGGTCCTCAAACTTTTTAAACAGGGGGCCAGTTTACTGTCCCTCGAACTGTTGGAGGGCCAGACTGCAGGTCCCAGGATGAGTTGGCTGCTAAGCAGGACAAGCAGCAGCAGCAAAAACACCCAGCGAACTGGATAAAAGTCCTAGGCGGGCTGCATGTGGCCCGCAGGCCATAGTTTGAGGACGCCTGCTTTAAACCCTGGCTTGAATTTCTGCAGGCCGCCATGGGGGACTTTACAGGTAAGTGAGGCATGAATATGTGTTCTATGGATGAAGGGGAACAATCCTCTTACTTGGGCATAAGGATCAGAAGAGCTAAAGTGTTACAAACAGCACCTGGCATGTGACCTCACCTTGCTGGACTCTTCAGTATATAGTTGGGAAAACTGAGGCCTAGAGGGCAGAGTTGCCTGCCCAAAATCACACAATGAGAAAACACCAGCTGGACCATGAAGAAACCTGGGGAGGATAAAATTGGAACAGGGTGCTACGGAGCCCTGGGGGCAAAGGCCAGGCTCTCTCCTCTCCTTCTTGGTGCCAGCCAGCCACCGCCTTCTCAAGTTCCTTTTCTCACCGGCTCTTTTCTCCTGCAATCTCCATAGTTGCCACAGGATGGTGCCTGTTGCTCTCATTTAGAGCTGGGCCTTACCGCCTTTGCCGACACCTGGCATCTGTCATTGGGACTGATGAGGCTTTGCCTTTAACATTCCCCCTACTCTGGCAGTGCCCACCTGCCAGTGAATAAGCTACTTCTGTTCCTAGGCATTGTCCACACACCTGCTACTTACCAGGTGTGTGCTGGTGTTGTTGGGGACTGGCTCACCTCCTGGTTTCTCTTTCCTTTCCTCTTACTGCCTTTGCCCTGTTGGCCAGAACAGAATTCCAGGTCACTAAACATGTCCCTCTTAAGAAGCCCTTGCTTCTTTGTTTATACCCCCTCTTCCTTCAAAGGATAGGAGAAAACTTGCAAAGGACTTGTCTATTAAATGAAACGAACATCTGTTAACCCAAGAGCAGAGAACTGAGTGACAGTGTGGGGAGAGTAACATTGCCCAGAAAGCTTAGGTCAAGAAGGCACAGAGCCTGGGCCTGAGTCTCTGGATGTCCAGGCAGATGGCTTTCAGAGCCGGAGACCTGCACAGAGCACTTCCATATTGGGGGAGTCTTGAGCCCAGTGCCTCTGGAGGGAACTCAGGGCCCTTAGACCTCTTGGTTCCCTGGAGATTTCGAACAATTAACAAAGGACAATATTATCTTTCCCCCAAGTGGTTGGCAGAGATGTTGCTTACAGAGCTGTTTCTTAAACTCAGTAACATGCGCTAGACATGGCCATGGATGGGAATGCAGAGGGCAGGAGGGGCCTGCACCCTCAGTGCATTGCAGACCCCCTTTCTGATTCCTTCTCTCTCTGTTCTCCGGCTCTCTGTTTTCCCATGATTCCTGGCCTCCCAGTTCTCTCCATTGCTCTGGCTGCCTCCAAGGTTGTTTGCTCTTCTTTCTGGCTCTTTGACCCAGGAAAGTGAGAAAAGAGAAGAGAAAGCTCTCAATTATGCAACACCTACAGTGTGCTGGGAACTGCCATGCCCTGACCCCATGCTGTTTTGTGGAAACCTCTTGATCCACAGAAGGAAAAACTGAAGTTGAAAGAGGCCAGTTGCCCAAGGCCCAGAGCTTCCAAGTTAGGCTAATGAGTCCAGATGCTTTGATCACAGAGTAGGCCTACACTTTACTTATGCAGGACAAGTTCAGATTTTTTATTTTTATTTTGTTTTGTTTTTATTTTTATTTTGTTTTTTGTTTTTTTGAGACAGAGCCTCAAGCTATAGCCCTGGATAGAGTGCTGTGGCATCACAGCTCACAGCAACCTCCAACTCCTGGGCTTAAGGGATTCTCTTGCCTCAGCCTCTCAAGTAGCTGGGACTACAGGCGCCCAGCATAACACCCAGCTATTTTTTGGTTGTAGTTGTCATTGTTGTTTGGCAGGCCCAGGCTGGATTTGAACCTGCCAGCTGTGGTGTATGTGGCTGGCGCCTTAGCTGCTTGAGCTACAAGCGCCACCCAAGTTTGGATTTTTTAAAAGAAACTTTTCCAGGGAAACTTAAGAGGCAGACGAGCACAGGCCAGGGTATGGAATAGATGAGGGGGAGGGGCTGAGGTCCAGTTCCACCATTCATCAGCAGTGCAGTCTCCCCATTGTACTTTTGCCTTAGTGTCTTCCCCCCTCCCCCGTGGAGTCTGAATGACAGCATCAACCTCACAGTTTGGAGGAACGATCAAAGCTGTCAATAAACGTGAACATGGGCAGTGGGTGACCAAGAAGGGCCTTCTACTTTTCAGGACGTTATTTGCCCTTCTCTCCACCCTCCCATCTGATCTGAAGTAGGAGATCCTGCCTGGGGGGGGGGGTCCAAAATCCCAGACTCAGTGAGGGATGTGGGTCACATCACACAATGGAAAGCAAATGGCTGTTCAGACCACAGAGGGGGGCATAAGCATTTCAGCCTTGTGGAGCCAGGAAGGCTTCTTGGAGGAGATGGCAAGTGAGTGCCCCAGGGAGGAGAACAGACATTCTTCAGATGATCAGGGAGGAGTGGTCTCCTAGGCAGAGAGCTTGAGTGGCGTTTCAAGGGCACAAGAAGAAGGTGAGGCTGAGGAAGAAGGTCAGACTCAGGCCCCAAGGTGGATCATCCTGTGTTACATGACAAGGGCTTGGGCTCATGAATCGTCTGGCAAGTTTGTTGAAATTGTAGCATCAGGAAATAGGGCCCAGGAATCTTTGTTTCCACTCGTTCCTAGGTGACACCATGCAGGTGATTAGAGGACAAAAGGAGACACAGGGCTACAGGTGATGGGAGAGAGTAAAGGGCAAGGACTCAGACGGTGTCCTCTCCCAAAATATATTGTTATTCTCAATTTACAGACAAAGAAACTCAGTCCCAGAAAGTAATTTGCTCAACAAGTAAGCAGTAGAGCAGTGGCTGACGGCCAGACCATGAGAGTCGAGAGCTGGGGTGTGTTCTTCATTCCCTGGTTCTTTACATTTCAAGCATGTAGAGATCACAAGTATTTCATATTTTATCTGTTTTAAACTTGCAGAAGCTCCCCACCTCCCCCAGATCTTATCCTGCCCTGGTTAATCCCACCTCCACCCA